TTCTTCAGAAGATCGGACATTATTTGAACCATCTCAAAGCCAGCTATAAATATTTGTGTTTCCCATGCGCATTGGCTTTATCATGGTTGCAAAAAGTTTTATTTATTGCGGTGTCGTCTCATGATTTTGAAAACAATAAACCCACATCTTTGTGGCAAATGTGAACCTCTTCTTCCAATTTTCGCCGCTATTTTCGAAAAACGATATTTTTGATAATTACTTGGGCATGTTTTTGTTAATGTTCTAGATGTTATAAAATTATATATTATATGTTCTAGATATTTCAAATAATAATGAAAGGATCTATTGAAACTTGAGCGTGGTCTTAATAAAGCACTCGAAGGAAAGGTATAATATGATAAAAATACCAGCCAGCTAGCAATCGAGTGCGAAAACACTCAGTGTTAGGTGAATGTTTCACCTGACATAGAGTGTAAAGCGTAGGTCGTCGATAACTATATATAAGGAGTGTGACGCTCCCGAGAGAACTGACTATGAAAAGATCGACAGACGACGGTTTCTGCTCGGCTGATGAGTCTGTAAGGACGAAACACGTGTCCCGGGCTGTACACGAGCCTTTACCAGACCACATGACATGTTGGCTCAAATAATAATGAAAGGATCTATTGAAACTTGAGCGTGGTCTTAATAAAGCACTCGAAGGAAAGGTTCTAGATATTATTTTGCATTAGCTACAGCTTGTACGTTGTTGTTATAACACTATGTATTGCATACTCATTTGTCATCTAGAGCTGTAACCACTCGTCTAGTCAAACGAACGTTATTAAATGATCTTTTCTGTTCGTTCTTGTGCACTCGTAAGAGAAGTCATATCTTTCTCATGGTTGTATTGGTATACAAATTTTGCAACCATACTAGCCCACATAGTTCAACGCGCTTTTAAAGTTACAAAGTGTCTCTCTGAGAAGAAGGACCGCATTTCCACCCAAAATGAGAGTTTGACAAATTATTTGCTGGCAGGAAGTGGTGCCGACGTGGAAAAGCTATAGTGCCACCCTCAAGACTCCAGGATTATGCTGATTCAACAATTTAATGCTCAAGTAAAAGTCTATTTGTGCATAAAACTTCGATCCTGAATTGAAACGTTTCCCGCTTTGAAACTAGTAACCTTTTATATGTTAGAATTTACGCTACTGCCTGAGGCGCTTTTCACATGAAGAATCGTCTTATCACCAGGCTGAATATGAAGCAATTCTAAGTATAGTCGGAGATCGCTTTTACGTAAGACGTGCAAGAGTAAGCCTTCAAGATATCTAGATTCTTTAAACTTGAATAGCATGTGTAATGGTCTTGATATCGTCCATGTACATTCTCCAATAAATCCCATTTTGATTGTATAGGTGAAGTTCCTGGTGACAAAGTATCAAAATATTTTCATTTCTTTTACTTTTTATAGATTTAACTCAATACTGACTTGACATTCTTTTGTTCTAAAGGTATGAGGTGCCTTAAATGAGAAACTTCATAGTTTTCGTAGATAGCAGTTTCCAAATTCTATTACATGAGATGACGAAGCAATTCTAACGTTGAAACTCCTGGGTGGAATTTGAACTTGTGAAGAAATCCTATAGAGTTCACGATTCGTTTTTTGCTCTTATTTTGTTAAGAATTCCATTCTGAAAGCGATATGTTTGGATAAGGAAGAGATTGTCCAAGATTTGGCGATTATATATTTCCAGACTGCAGCACAAAATTGGTCATAGAAGAAATCAACGCGAAGATCATATTTTGAAGAGATTTTATTTATTATATAGGAGATGAATCTATGGTAGGAAGGGATGGCCAAAGCCGAGTGGTTGTGCTGCATGTTATTAGAAAGCGCAGTGCCTGTTTGATCCCCTTCCCAACACTCTTTTCCGTTCACTTGAGTTAGCCTTAACCTGATCCTGTTCAAGATTGCAAGGATCGTCGGCTCAGCCACTATTTTATGTCATTCACGATGAAGGATTTTTCAAGCAGTTAATTGCTCGAAAATCACAGACGCGATGAATTTGACGGAACGAATCGAGGGCTAGAAGTAGTTGGATTTTCACACCAAAATGTTTGATAGAGTGCCGTGTAAAAAATATTTATTTATTGAAATATTGTTTTGAAACAAAGACTCTTTTCTAGGTCTGAAGTCCTAAGGTTCGCTGTTGATCTAGTTATTGGAGAACTTATATGCCATAAACAGTGAAAGCCTTTAGTATCAATCAATCCATGGTATATCTCCGTTTTATCATCTGATTGTGAAAAAGTATTAGCAATTTATGCATTATTGAAATGCGCTCTTCAATATTGAACTATACTATCATATAACTATGGTAATGTCCCACATCATTTTGATGTGCATTTCTCATTTTATGTTTCATTGCTGATGGTGTGTTTTTGCTGTTTATTTTATAATCATTTAAGATTATGGAAAGGATGCTTGCTGGTGCAAAAGTAATTACGGTTTAGCATCGTGATTTCAAAAGAGCCGTAGAGCAGCACAGACAACTCCCAACATCAACACTGCATTTTGTCCAAGAACTGGTAACGAACGAATAATCCAGGGGGGTCTAGGAAGCTTTGTAAAGGTGACGCATTTGACAATGCATAAATCGCACTTGCTTTTGTAGCAATCTCATCAGAAGTCATGAAAAAAACGATCATCAATGCTGGTCGCTTTATAACTACACAGACCACTTCACCATTCTTTCTAATTGGACAATTTACAAAAGTAATTGCGGTTTCAAGACGGCCTAAAACTGTAATTATTTTCTCATTAACCTAGCAATTTTTTGAACAACTTTCCGGAAAGCTTCTGATTAAATAAGTGTGCTGGATTTTGTTTTGGCTAAATATCTCATCAAAACGATGCCTGCATCCATGTCTCAGAATAGCGGTAGATCCCTTTTGGAGAAATTCATGTTCTTCCACCTTAGCTCAATAGCGCGGCTGTCAGAGGAGCATGTCCAGAGATCAACAGAGAGCGCGTTTTGGGAAGAGTTATTCATCATTCTAAGAGGACGACCACTCGAGATTCTAGTATCACATCTGCGTTGCTATTGACAATGATAAATAGTCGCCTTCATATGGCCTCGTTAAAGTCGAGAATGTCAGCCTTAGGTGATACTCTTCAAGTTAGCAGCACCACTCTTTCATGAAGAAGTCGTCGGCATTAAAAATGCTACATAGTTATCAAATATGTATAGTCCTTTCATAGCTCTTGTCATTCTCACGGTCATCAGTATTGTCAACGGTTAAAAGTAACTGACAACGGTTGCTGTGATCATATAATTATTTCATGTTATATAAATTGTGCCAAGGAAGAGGAACTCGAAAAGAAATTAAAAATTTACTGGTAACTCAAAGCGTTCATTCAGTACAATTTATCGTACCATCACTGCTGAACTTTACTCACGAACATCGGCGTCAAAAATTTGTTGGAAACATAATCGCTTACTCTGGTGTATATTTCCTCCTGGGCTAAAATTAGCTGGATCTTCAGGACTCAAGTGAGCATTCATATTGTTCCTGTAAATGGAACTTTATGATATTTCTACATCTTACCAGCGAAATAAGTCAGTGGCAAGAGCATTATACACAGAGTTAATCCACTATAATTTGCTTTCAAATCTTGAGAAGTTCTTGGTTCGCTAATCGAATGAAAATCTTTTTATTCAACCGCTGGATAATATGATGTTATTAATATACCCACCAATGTAGAGTGATGTGCAAAACTTTTGCGTGAGACGGGACTCGAACCCACATCTCACTTCATCCGAGTGCGCGTGCTCTTATCCGTTGCAGTAGTGGTGTCCATTCTTGGTTCGAATTGGCTTTGACTATACATTCTAGGATGCTTAGTGCTAGACAGAGGTCTGAACCTGAGGTGTTGAACTTGCGGTGCACCTCACCGGAGCGTGTGCTGCTATCTGTCCTTGCTCTGTTATCGCTATTCATGCGATCTTAGCTAACGAAGTTGTTGGCATTCAACTGCTAACGAGTATGGTCTGGTAAGCACATGTTTTGTTTTAAATTCAATAAGCTGTTAGGTATTGGATATGTAAATATAAATATAAACAAATAAATAAATAAATGCATGTATACAATCTATAAGAATCCTTTATTTACCGGTTTTGTAACAGTGTTCTGCTGTTCTTCCTCATACACGAATCCCTGCTGGAGAGGGAGCTAAACGCAAATAAAAGCGACTATGCCACTTTCTGAGGGCAGGGTAGATTTTAACGATAGATTCACTTTTCTATAGCACCAATTTGACTAACCTCAAATTCTAAGAGTGAAATTGGTCAAAAGCCTGCAATCAGGCGGCTGGGAAGTCTAATAGAGGCGCTTAGGAGTTCTTCCAATAAACAAGCTCCTGTCTCTCGGAGAGAGGCGAGTAATCTACACGTCAGTACCCAGATCCCACACTCAAGGCTCAACATGTTATAAAATAGGTATTGAATGTTGATTACGATGGGGAAAACGAGCCTCATTCTCGCAACTCCTAAAGAGCCTCCGGTACGGCATCATCGGGCAGGATGAGTATGGAGAGACTGCTAAATCTTATGACTAAGCTGGGCTGCGAAAATCGCAACGGACTAAAGTGACGATCGGTACCTGTGACGTACGTGTTTGCAAACAAATTTCTCTAGAAGGTCTATTGATACAAGCAAGAAGGTTGAAATACGTCGTCATCTACCTGGCTGAGCCGAGAATGCTCCGCCATAACACGCTGTCCATGACACCAGAAAAGAACTGTTTCTCAAACATGCGATCATATAGGCGGCGGCCCGCAGTGATAATCTCGTCAAAACGAGTTTCACCAAGAGCATCAATTTGTTCGACTAACTAACCACCGGATCGGATGCTTACTGCTTACTGTTTAAACCATGTGGATCAATTTCAACTTTGACAGTCTTCGTTCTTTACGCAGTAATATCTAACTTGACGAAGAAGAAGTTTTACATGAAAGTGTTACAAAGTGATGTAGAGTGATGTGCAAAATCTCTTGCGTCAGGCGGAATTAGAACCCGCACCTTACTCTTTCCTGGAGCGCGCGCTCTATCATTGCACTACTGACGCCCATTTTGCACAATCTGCTGTCAGCCGCCAGCAGTCAACGGCCTGGCCCGGGTAGTCGGTCTCGACATTTAACCCAGTCACGCTGACAGATATTTGTATTTATTGTAGTTTTACACATCACTCTACATCAATGGGTGCATATTTGAAACATCGTACCACCGCTAGAAGCGGTTAAATAAAGAGAATTTTGGTGTTATGAAGTTTTTGGAACCTATTTGAAGAACACAGAAAAATTCCAGAGAGGAACATACGTTTTCCAAGGTCGTCGTTAGAGATCTTAACGCCAAAATTGAACTTAGAAAAACATCTGAAGAGCGTGACATAGGAACCACAGACTGGAATGGAATGAACAGGGTGAGGGGGTATCTGAGCTTATAATGACAAGCAGAACCATCCATGATCACTCACAATCCCAGAGGCATCATTCTCGGCTGTGGACATGGAAGTCCTCTGATGGAGAGAATCATAATGAAATAGACCACATCTTAGTAAAGCGGAGTTTTGCCTAATCGATGTCGTTGTTGTTCCAAAATTCTTCACGAGATCATACCATTGCCTCCATCGCGCAACACTTCATTTTCGCAAGTAGGAGAGAAAGCCGCCAAGTTCAAAGAAAGAAAACCTAAAACTACAATGAACTAGAAACCATTTGAATCATTAACGCTTGTTTCTAAAGCACTCAAATGATCCACCAACGCTGAATCATTCCAACCACAAGTGACGGCCATCGCATGCCTGAACTGCCAAGACGCTGCTACAAAGCGCTAAAAGAATATCCAAAAAAGAGGAGCATGAGCTATGGCCAAAGCAACAGAAGCTGAAAAGAGCATGCGTAAGACACTCACACAATTGAGATTGTTGGATTATAGAAAGTGTAAATTAGTCCTGAAAAGCTGAACTGAAAATCCATCTGCTGGACTTGTTTGCCTCTTATTGATAATACAGAGACAAATGGTTTGCCTCTTCTCATTTACATCTTCTCCGGAACTTTGAAACACATCTCATAGCCTCTATACTAACCGGTTAGCAATCACTTAATGGCCCGCAGTAGTAGTGGCAGATGAAGGGATTTCCAGATTTTTTGCATTTCATTGAAAAAATTGTCTAGGAAGGCATCATCTTATGATTATCAAAGTGTCATAATGTATTAGGTATCACTTTCACAATTACAGCCTGCCGTATTGAATTACTCAATTGGAGCTGTAGTGTTTGAAATAATTCTACCAAGGTGTAAGTGTCTACCTCTGATATTTTCAAACACTTCGGTTCAGAGGTTTTAAATTCCTCTTGAATAAGCTTATTTTAAATCTACGAACACTTTTCAGCTTATAACGGTAAATTTATCTGCGAAGATTAAGTTGTTCAGCTACATTCCGCTTGTACATAATTGGAAAAAGGGTAAAGATTTTGTCCTTGATAGATCTTTGAGAGATGCACTATGCACTTAATCACGCATCATTAAATGTGATAAATGCATATCTGCTCTTTACAATGACTCGCGGTGGGCCTATAGTTCTATCAGACTAGTGTTGCTGTGCTCTCATGGCAAATCTGGCGTTAATTTGTAGATCCCAGAATAATGAAAGGGCTAGCGACCCGTAGGTGCGAAGTCGAAATATTGACTGCTTGTAATTCTTAGGGCACGTCTAACCATTGTTTCACATGTCCCCATATGCTAGTCCGTAAAAGTTGCTTTAGAAAATATTTTGCATCCAGAAACGCACAACTATATGCTCAACAGACTCTTTTTGGAATCCATTTTTCTGTCATTAACTATAATCTGTTTGATATTTATATATTCTGCAAGCGATTTGTCCTTCATTTTGAATGGCTCATTATGAGATTAAGTATTTAGATATGAGTGCCTCAATTTAGATCGCTGAAATGATAAAGTGGAATTTGGCCGAATCGCTTACTAGAAACTGGGAATGCGTTAACACTAAGACTCTATAGTTTTTATCTTTGAACAAAGGTAGAGTAGTGTCTCCTCAGTCAATCGCAGCAACTAAACTCTCCGAACTTTTCATTTGTGAAGCTATATCGAAGACTTGCAGAGCATAGAAGTCAGAGATACATTGCAGTACAAACGTGGTCTTCAGCACAATCATCTGGGCCGAGCATTGCAAGCCTAGATCCGTTTTGGGGGAAATTAGTAGCAAAGTCTACTGCGCAGAAACTGTAGATCTAGCACAGTGTAAGGTGGAGAAAATCAGTCTATTAGCATTCAATTACCTCTACGGTGGTTTATAGAGTTAAGTGCACTGCTCATCCCTCACTAACTGATCGACGAACATGGTTTTATTTTTAATCCTCTTATTTGAAAACTGTCAATGTTCAATAGTCCGCAAGTGGAATAAAGCCGACGAGAAAACGGCAAGAATCCGATATTGTGATTATTGTTCGGCAATTGTTTAGCCAAACATTAACTGTAGTGTGGGTTCCACCTCTTTCTACATTTCATTTATTGTTTTGCTGCTGCCATTGGAGCGTTTCTTGCGCGGGTTTTTGTGATAATGGTAGGTCTCTTGAAAGCTTGGCTGAACAATAACCATCTTTCTTCTCTTCCAAATGACACGATGAATACTGGTGGAGCGTGGCTTTTTTGGAATCTCTGTCATCTAAAGGATTCCTAAAGCATCCTTTTCTTTATACCTCTTTTTTATGGTCACTTGCAGTTCTTATGGGCTAGTCGCAGGTCCGTTGTGAATACAGCTGAATCTTAGCATGATGCGAATGTTAATGAAACCAATTAGAATCTATAGCCCCTTTACCATCAATTCAGCATCCGAATCATTATACAATAGACTAAATGACCAGAAATGCAATGTTTTACTTACTCTAATTCTTATTTTACTGAAGATGATCGAAATTACCACACTAATTTCGCTATGCCAACAATATCTTCAACAAAGTTTCGGCTTGTTGTTTGCTGAATCTCTGGAAAAAAATCCAAGATTATCTGACTGCATGACTCATCTTTCAGAGCAGTCAGAGGCGAGTTCTTCTCCAATTTCAATGTTGACGTGATCATATTGTGCATGTAAATTTTTTTCTCCTTCTACATACAGTAGAACAGGGCCAAGAAAATCCCCACTTCGTTTTACTTTCCGTTTTCATCACTTTTTGCTACTAACGACATTTTCCATGATCTTTTTATGTTGCATATGCTGGAATAGGCGAGCGATTATATGAGTAAAAAACATATGGCTTAAAGTGATCTAAAGAATTAAATCGAATTCTTATAATGATCTGTAGGTGAATTAGTATGTTCTCATTTAAGATAGTATGTTTTTTTTCAGAAGTCCTACATTTATTTTACAGTTTTATGAATGATGGAAAATGTTCCAGAGTTGTCATAAGCCCCAAGAAAATCCCTTGGGAATAATATCAGTCTTCTTCACATTTGGTAGAGATAAATATTTCAGCAATCTTTTTTTCCCAAACTTGAAAAGAAAATACTATAAATTTTCGGCAACACGATATTCATGTGTGTCTTCGAGCTCGGCTACTCTTTTCCGCGACATTCACAAAAAAAAAGAAACAAAATAACGAGTCAAACACAATTTGAACAGTATTTTTTTCAAAGAAAACGTAGGAATTTCTTATGCGTCTTTTCCTTTTGTAAAAAGTAAACTATTGAAAATTTCTGATAACTTCAAGTGGACTTTAGATGACCTGTTCACATACTCAAATTTCATCTCACAACTCTCTTTTATTTCGCAAGCATATTGCCTTGACGTTAGAGCTTTGTCGTCGTTTAGATTGTCGCGGCGTTTCGTATTCAGGACTCTCAAACAATTTCATTGCCTCTTGGAATCACACGCGCCCACACAATTTGCTCTTTTTCTTATTTTTCCGTCCCTTTTTACTGAATTATTCGCTTTCTAATTATACACTTACGCTGCCCGTAACAACTACCCTCACTGACTACTCAACATGTACTCTTGAGCCTTAAGATGCTTGTCTCAAATGCTCTACCACAAACTGATGATTGCGTTTTATCGTATAGCCACAACTTATAATTGGGCAGAGATTTTTGTCTCTACTTTACTTGGCTTATTCGCTTGCTGTATTGCTCAGCTTACACAAGATTGTCACATAAATGTTTTATTATGGCCAACGTTCCAGAGCCATTAACTTCTTAAGAGCCGTAATAATTCAAGCTGAAAATACACGAACGTTGATTTTCCAGTCTATGCCTTCGCTGTCGAACTTTGAATGCGATGGAATTGATTATCATAGAATAATTAGAGCAGTCGTTGTAAAGTTTTGTTATAAAATATAATATTATATCAAGTTTGAAATATGACGTATACTGAAAGTTATTATACGTTGCATTATTTGCTTTACAATTTCTTGCTACTATAATATTTATTAATACTGAGTAGCGTATCAATAATAATCAATTATATTTATTTGAAAAGAATCAGCGAGCAGAAAGCATCATCAGCAGCCGTTTTTACAAAAGGCTATAGCGGAGTAGGATTTTTCATTACCCTGAAGAAGACGAAGACGTCAAAATGTTAGTCGAATAAATCTTTATTTCAATCTCGTGTAATCGCTGAATATTAAAAAAAAACCAATGTCCTGCTCCTAGTTCCTTCTTGCAAACGCAACATAGGGTTTACAGCCACCGTTTCAGTGGTTTCACCTTCCTCGAAGACTGGGAAGCTGGTTGCTCACAGCCTTCTAAGCCGTACACCTTCATTACTCAGAAAGAATAATTCACCGAACCCTAGATTCCAATCACATCAAGCGCAAAAGACCCTTTAATATACTCATCGAGTCCTCCACTGAGTCATCAAATGAAGAGCAACCTGAATTGATCACAAGGACTGGCATCTCCATCAGCAAAATAGCAGTCGCATATACTGTGCCATATCACGCACAATTAAGAGGCATTTCTCCATTTAGTTCATAATTAGATTGGATGGTTATTCAGAACGATTTGAAAATCTTACCCGCAGGCCTTATGTTCCTATGCGACCATGGTGGCATCC